GAGAGAGAGAGAGGACCTTAACAGTAGATTGAGCCGGGGAGGGTTCTTGGGTCCTAGCCTTCTTGAAAGCTGCTCCAGATGCTGTGCTCGTGCACTAGGGAAACACAAAAGAATGGAACAAAGTTACTAATCTTTCATTTAGTCAAGCTTAACTAATTATCGCTCGATTATCGCAAAAGTTCTCATACTATATATAGTGAATCTTGCATTCATGAGTCGGACAACCGGATTAATTCATCATAATTTCACACTTGAGCTGGTAAATGATATTACCTCACGTGGCGAACCGTTGTTTGAGAAGTCCAAGATGTTATTTCCGAGGGAGGTGGGGGAGGTGATGGAGGAAGCTTGCTGCTGCAGGGTGTTGTGGTAGTGCTGAACACCCCTGGACCATGGAGATGGAGAGGACATTGCCAATTGGAACTCATCACCAGCTTGGCTGCTCCCATGCCTAGCGGTGTTGCTGTAGATGTGGCCGGCGGCGCTGCTCCCATCGCCTTCTTCCCCTTCTCCGGTGGTTGTAGCTGGAAACAACGCCTGGCCTTCCAAAGTCTTGTGCCTCTCCTCTTCATTAGCTAATTCACCACTGGTTGGCCTATCAAAAAGACAACAAGTTGATCATAGATTCACACACACAAACACGCGTAGAGAGAGAGAGGGAGGGAGGGATGTAGAGAGAGAGAGAGAGAGAGAGAGAGAGAGAGAGAGAGAGATACATGAAGAGATGGTTCCATGGATCTTGGAGCTGCTGAGCATGGTTGCTGTTGCTGCTGTCGTGCCAAGGCGCAGTGCTCGTTGTAGGCAGTGGATAATGATTCGAGAGGAGCAGAGATGAGAACGAATTGATCGGGGAGGAGAAGGTTGAAGTGCTGGTAGAGGGCAAGGAAATCGATGGATTGTTCTGCTCAAAGGGGGGCCTCAAATTATTCATGCTCCGCCATCCATGGCCTTCCCCCATCTCCCCCACTAGTGGTGATGATCCCTGGACGAGCCCCCTATCCATATCTTCCGATATGCTAGCTCTCTCTTCCCCC